AAGTGACTGGTCTAGAATTTGAACCCGTACTTTTATCATTGCATTCTGCAAGTTTTGTCAACTGCTCATTCTCTGTATATCCCCATTATATGCCGTGAGTCCTATTTATTGTTGTTGGTTTTCTGAGACGGGATTTCTCTGTGTAGCCTTGGCTGTCCTGGAACTCACTCCATAGACCAGGCTGGCCTTGAATTCACAGAGCCTCTTCTTCCTGAGTGCTGGGTTTAAAGGCTTCTGCCACCACTGCCTGGCCACTGTGAGTCTTTTATTGCAAGTATACATGATGACTTTGTGTGTGTGTGCATGCCTGTTCATGTGTGTGCATGTATGTGGATGGCAGAGGTTAGCATTAGGTGTCCCTCTCCAAGAGCAATTAGAGGTGATTCTGAAGCATATTGAAGTTTGAAAACCAGATAAAAGACTGGCCCAGTTTTAAAAAAAGCAAAGCATATTTGGGGTTAATTCAAACGCAGTTGTGCTAGGGAATGGAGAGGTGGCTTGTCCAATAATGTGTTTGCCACATAAGCAGGACCTGAGTTCAAAATCCAGGAGCCACATAAAAAGGTCAAGTTTACTGGTGTGCACTTGTCCTCCCAGTGCTGGGATGGAGGAGACTGGTGCAGTCCTGGTACTCACTGGCTAGCCCACTTCACCCATCCTAGACTCCTGGCCCTGGAGCACAGCGAGAAGCTGGTAGGGAAGAGGCTGGCAGCTCAGCTCTATCTTTTTGAAAATTGCTGGCATTCTCTGGATCCGCTAAGATGACATAGAATAGGTTTTCTCATTATTTTCAAAATTTAAGGTCAGTTTAACTAGAAAGATCTGTTACAAATGCCTCTGTATCCTCAAAAGCAGTTAGTTTTCCCACTTCTTGCCTTGAAGTTTTATAGGCTTAAACTTGTCTGCTTAACTTATAATCATGAGATGAATATGGCCCTGGTTTCTCCGTAGCTTTTGGTTCCTGTCCTGGAACTAGCTCTTATAGACCAGGCTGGCCTCCAACTCACAGAGATCCGCCTGCTTCTGCCTCCCGAGTGCTGGGATTAAAGGTGTGTGCCACCACCGTCCAGCCATGAATATGGATTCTTTTATTCAACAAGAGAAATTTCTGAGTACTTGCTAAGCACACTTAGCGATGCCTGATGTTTTCCCTTCCCAAGCTTCCTATGAGTGAGGAGAAGCAAGAATCCAGTCAAAGAGCAAGATGTACAGACGTAGGGTTCCGTAGCCATGAGAATAGGAGCGGGTGAGGTGCTTGCTCTGCTTCAGGACTGGTGGTGGAGCAGGAAGGTAAGAACCAGAAGGAATCTGGGAGACAGAGGCACAGAGCTGAACACTCTCGCTGCATGAGGGTGGCAGGGGTGGATGAGCCCAGGGTGATGGGGAACTTGCTGGGGGAGCATGGATTGCACTGTGCTACACAGTTAGGACTTAGGACATCAGCAAGAGACACCAGTTGCTGCAGAGACTTGAGCATTTCACTTCTCCGAAAGTAAACGCGATGTTGCATTACTTAGGAAGGTTAACAGGATAGCATCTTGTAAGGAGAATTGAAGGGGAGGAGGAGTCAGGTGGGGACAGTCATTAGCAAGCTTCTTTCAGAGGTCCAGGCGTGACTGTAAGTCCAGAGGTTTTAGATCAGGATGGTGAAAAGCAAGAGCAGATGTGGAAGGACCTGGCATGACAGAGTCTCTACTAACAGAGAACAGAAGTAGAAGGAAACTCACAATAGCTGGTGTTGAGGATGTGGGAACCTGTGGCTGGGGTTGAGTGTCTTTAGCCAGATGACAGTGGGTGTGGCCATCTCACTCTTTGCTGCTGGCAGTGCACACGGCTCTGAGACAGATGGTGACCACTGCTTCTCTTTACTTCGCTTGTGTCTCCTGGCTTCCCTGCTAGGTCCCTACCAAGAAGACCACTTCATGGAGATGTTTTGTTTGGGAATTCTTGATAATGAGACTTTGATTAAGTTTTTCAAAGTGCAGCCTTTGGAAATTTGACTCAAGTTAGTAGATAAAGCAGCGGGGAAAATGAGAGTCCCATGGTCAAGTGAATTTGGAAACTACTGTAGAGAATCATATAGGTTTCTTTCTTTTCATATGATAGCAAAAGCGTTGCCATGGGGCCAGGGAGATGACTCAGTTGGTATTGTGCTGATGTGCAAGCATGGGGATCTGGGCTTGGATCCCTAACAGCCACATGAAGAGCATCATGGTGGCAGATGCCTATACTATCAGCACTGGGGAGGCAGAGACAGAATCCTTGGAGCTTGTTGGTCAGCTAGTCTCCCACATCAGTGAGTTCCAAACTCAATGACTATCTCAAAAACAGACAACCAATACTGACCTCTGACTTCTACATGCACCTACACGCACATGAATGCATCCACACACAGAGAAACACTTACAATATACCTAGACCCTCCCCCACAGAGTGTTATTTATCATAGAGACGGTAGATGGTAGCACAAGCTAGTGAGCCACGAGCTCTTTTGGGAAGGAACACTTCAAGGGAAGAGGAAAACAGAACATACTTTCGGAGATATTAGGCACTGGAGAGTACATCTTAGAAATAGGCCTCTGTGGTGGTTTGAAAGAAAATGCCACCTCCCCACACCAATGATTGGCACTATTAGGAGGTGTAGCCTTGTTGGAGTAGGTCTGGCCTTGTAGGAAGATGTGTGTCACTGTGGGGGCAAGCTTTGAAGTCTCCTTTGATCAAGCTACCCCCAGTGAGACAGACCACTTCCTATTGCCTGTCAGTCAAGATGTATGACTCTCAATTCCGTCTCCAGTACCACCTTGTCGCACCATGACGATAATGGACTGACCCTCTAAAACTGTAAGCCACCAAATTGGTTTTCTTTAGGAAAGTTGCTGTGGTCATGGTGTCTCTTCACAGAAACAGAAACCCTAACTAAGACAGCCTCTTACACCAGGCATTTGTAGTGTAAAGGAAAGAAACAAGAGGCTGGGATTTGGATCTGGAATCTACAGGCAGTCTGCGGCAAGTCAGTGGGCTCCTCTCAACCTCTCAAATCCTGGTTTCCGTAGGTTTTTTTCTCTTATATTGGATGAATCATCAAGGTCCTTTCAAGTCCAGAAATCTGAGGTGATGGGTATGTGCAGCAGAGGGAAGAGAACTGAGACTTTTCTTCTCCATAATAACTGGAGGTGGAAACAGGAAGGGGAGGAACAATGATAATAAGATGTGGGTGGAGCCCTTGAGCTGATTGTCTGCTCAGGGCCGGCATTGCTGACTTCCCAGTTGCTCACTCTCTCAGATCTTCTGAGCTGTTGGATAATAAATTAGCCTTCTGGGTTTGAGGTTCATCTGCAAAAATAAGGAAGTTGGATTGGGTCAGAGGACACATGGGTATTATTCTTTCCCTACTGACCCAGGTCAAGTGGACCCCAAGACTGTTTTACCTTCTGAGACGGTCTCACCCACTTCCATGTCTGTTCCTGCCTTAGGTGGTTGATTAATCCATTTATGGACAGCATCACACTCACCTGAATGTCAGGCTCAATTTTCTGCCTCTCTACAGGCAAGATCTATTTTTTTTTGTCTCCATGAGAAACAAAATTCTTTATTTTCAGTCTCTCTTTATGAACAGAATACTTCCTTTAGTTTTCCCAGCTTCAGAAAAGGAAAGAAGGGAAGAAAGAAAGAAAGAAAGAAAGAAAGGTTTCTGATCTCAGGCTTCTTAGATTTCATCCTCCCATTAGTTTTATAGTGGTTTAATTTTCAATTATTTTATTATTATTACTATTACTAATATTATTATTATTATTATTGTGTGTGTGTATAAGTGTTGCTCATGTGCCATGTTGTTTCATCAAACTGCATGTGTGAGGTCACAGGATGTCTGTACTAGCTGGTTTTGTGTGTTAACTTGATACAAGCTTGATTTACCAGAGAGGAAGGAACCTCAGTTGAGGAAACGCCTCCATGAGATCAGCTGTAAGGTGTTCTTTCTCAGTAAAGGACCAGTGGGAGAGGGCTCAGCTGTTGGTGGGTGGTGCCATACCTAGATGGATGGTCCTGGGTTCTGTAAGAAACCAGGCTGGGCAAGTCATGGAAAACAAGCCAGGAAGCAGCACCCTCTATGGCCTCCAGGTTCCAGTCCTGCTTGAGTTCCTGTTCTGACTTCCTCCAATGATGGACTATAATCTAGAAGCTTGATCCAAATGAACCCTTTCTGCCCAACTTGCTTTTTGTTCATATTTCACTGCAGCAATAGAGCTAAGACAGCATCACACTGATGATGTGTGCAGAGATGAACATCTGGGGCATTCAGTGTACACCCAGTTAACTGGAGGAGTTGGTGCTTCCTTAGCTTCTATATCAGGGAGGTTGTGAGCCAACAACTATTCAGAACAGATAACCAGTTACATCTAAGGCAGAGGATGGTAGTCTGAGGTACACGTGAGATTTATCACATGGGATGCCGTATGGGATCACTTCGAGTCCTTGAGTCTCATTCGGAGATCCATGTGATAGTTATTTTCATGACAGTGCCAAGATGTCTTTTGCTTTCTCCTCCCTCATTCTCCTGTGAGTACATGGAGGAGCTTTCCAGAGGTTAACTGACACGTGATAATGCACCAAATTGAATCCAGAAGCAGATATGATAATCCAGCTCTTTTTGGAGAGGTCAGATGTTTGGGATCTCAAAGCATGTAAAATGATGTCGTTCTTCTCACAGACTTTCCTGGGAAAATTTGTTTCTCACAGCAATTCATATTTATGTTAGCATAATTGTCATCAAGGAATATATAATAAAGTTAGAATGTTCTGTTTTAATTTAAAAATCAGTCAATATCAGGAGATAGAAGTGAAACTCCCTTGAGGTTCCCTGGGACGTGCCCAATTCCATCAGAGAGCCTCAGCTGCTTGGAAGCTTTGCTGTGTACTGCGGATGGGGATGCTAAGGAGGAGCAAAATGAAACAAAATATTGTAATAAAATATTGCTTTTCCTCTCCTTCTTTTCATCAAGGGAAATCTACAAGTGGCCTGACATCCGATGCTCTAGAAAGTTCCGGGCTTGTTGCTTGGATTCTCTTAAGAAGCTGAAATAACTGAAGAGGAGCGGGGGCCTTCTGTTTTGGAGGGTTCTGTCCAACAGAGGATGTTCTACACCCATTGACGTGAGTAGTCTGTCATTGTAGTTCTGTTGCCACATGATAATGGAAGTAGCCACAATCTGGGTGTGGCTCACATGGACTAGCCCGTCCTAGTACTCAAGGGAGTGTTAGATTCCTGGGTGTGTTTTCTAATATTACAATCGCATCACTTCTTATGAGTTGTTTTCTTTCAACAGTAATTTGAAGTGACTTATAGAAAAACAATACTCAGAACCGCCCCAACCGGGATCTAGAGCAGTAATCTGTAAAATAGTTTTAGAGGAATACATAACTGCAAATGTCTACCTCAGAGCCAGGGAAAATTTGTATACTGAGCCAAGACTCGAGGCAGAAAGAGAAGCATGCTTACACTGTAGAGATTTTAGCAGGAGTTTCCTCATGTGTCAAGGAAGTCTGTCAGAGGTAACGTCTGGTCTCTGTGAATCTTCTCACCTCACCCTTTGGGCAGGTCAGATCTTACCGCAGAACCTAGCACTCTGGCAGCTTCATGGATCTGAGACCTTTCTGTTATAGAGCTCACTGATAACAGAAGCTTGTCTCCTTCATGGCATGAAGGTCCATATGTTTAGGACCTTGCTCAGGGGCTGGTTAATGGAGGCTGCTCTTTGAAGACTTGTTACCTTGACAATCCTGGTCTTGAGCCCTCCCTACCCTGGAGCTCACTGATCTCAGATGCCCCAGCTGCTTCATACCTGTATCTTTGCCTGGCACTTGAAGGCTTTTCAGTGAGGATTCCTGGCTTGCCTTAGACTTGCCTGTGTCCAGTACTGTTTCTGGAATGTTTTGAGTATGTGAATGACTGAGCGCATTGTGTAGGACTGGGAAGCAAATGATTCCTGGAGACAGGGAAAATTCAGTGTTTTTTTTCCCTCTTAGGAGATTTCCATTTTGTCACAGGAATTCTTGACTATTTACAATTTTCTGTTTCTGACCAAGCGAACTCCTCCCTCCTTGTGGTGATAAGCCATAGTTTAAAGAACTCTTTCCCCAGACTGTCTTATCAGTCTCCCTCCTGCTCTCCTTTCTTTTCTTCCTTCCTTTGAGAAACTCTGAACCAAAGCCTTCACAGTTCATATTTCAGAGTGAATAATTCATGGCTATGCTTAGTCACTAATCAGAAGTTATTGCAGGTTTTCCCTGTTCCCTTAGATTTTCAAGCATTATTTATCTACGAATCATCCTTTTCTACTTTTGAGAGGCTATCATTGTGGTCTTATTTCCTCTACTATCCATCTGAAATAACTATTTCCAGAATCCATTATTTCAATATGGAAGTCATGGACTAAATATAGCCCTGCCACTTAAAGCTTGGTTTGTCGTCCCCCCAACCCTTACTCTTTCACAGTGATGCACTGGGAGTTATCGGAAGTATGCTGGTTCCTTCAGGCACCAGCCCTTTCTTTGTCACCAGTTCAAGTTCTTTTGAGCTACCAGAAACAACAGAAGAGCTAGTGGGTAGGGGGTGGATAGTGGAGGGAGACAGTGGGCAAATTAGAATCAGGAGAAAGGGCAGAGAAAATGGGAGACGTGGGGGGAAAGTGAGCAGACAGAGAAAGAGAGAGAAGAGAGAGGCGAGGTGAGAGGAAGACACGGTGGCCAATTATACCTACATTCTATATACATTTCAAACACCCAGGGTCTGGAGCAATTGACATTGTCTCCCTGAGAGTGCTAATGTCCACTAGGGACCCACTGACAGCTCTTCTTCCTGCCTGTTTCTGTATGGATGCCGACTATTTGGTCATTTTACTAATAATGGCGCAGGAAACTGACCCTTGTTAAGCTCCAAGCAGACTGACACAGTTGCATCATCTCTGGTTGAGAATTCTGCCAACAAGAATTTCTCCTTGAATTTTCAACTGCAGCTTGATTTTTCCTGCATGACTTAGAAGCTCTTTCCCATCACAGAGACCTAGGTACGGTCTGTTTCCATTTCATTCATCTGTGACGGGAGACAGGGGTCCCATGTATCTTGTAGGACATGAAGACATGTCCTGGGGTGTTGGAAGTGCGAATGGCTGAAGGTTGAATAGAAACAAACCTGGGAGCCATCTGCAGGCTACTGTGTAAATTGTGGCTGAGATAAAACACTGTGGTTATGCGGATGAAGATCCATGTCAGGATGATCTCAGAAAAGGTGGGGTTGGGAGAAGTAGCTAACTAGAGGATCCACAGCTGTCATAAGCATACCACCAGAGAGTGAGGGGACCCCTAGAAATGGAGGAAAGCTAATTCGTCAGAGGCAAATGGAGGTAAAACACTCCCAGGTTTAGGCATTTCTGATACACAGCTCCAGCAATGCTCCGAAAAGTGTCAGCTCAGGACGGATGTCAGCAACTGGTGGGCTGGAGGTCAGTAAGCAATTTGTTGTGAAGATTCACGAACTTTGGATGATATTTTTTTTTTTTTTTTTTTTAATTTTTCGAGACAGGGTTTCTCCGTAGCTTTTGGTTCCTGTCCTGGAACTAGCTCTTGTAGACCAGGCTGGCCTCAAACTCACAGAGATCCGCCTGCCTCTGCCTCCCGAGTGCTGGGATTAAAGGCGTGCGCCACCACCGCCCGGCTGGATGATATTTTTACTCAGTAAAATGGGAATGTTTATTGGGCATCTGCGATGTTCTAGGAATAGTGGAAGTAGTTGGAAGAGGAAGACAATGAACTATGTACCTAAGAGACATCCCCAGATAAGTTATTCAATGGCAGAAAGGGAGAGAGAGACAGAGACAGAGACAGACTATATCTACTCAAGAGGATGGCGAAGGTAGAAAGAAGGCCACAGCGGTACCTCTTTCTGAAATATACTAGAAGAAATGCCCTGCACTTGAAAGGCACAGAGCTTGAGCCAAACCTTGGAGCTAGGGAGGGATTCAACATGTAGAAGGGAGAGCACGGTCAGTTGTTATTGTTGGAGCTGACTTAGGCCGCAAGGACCCAGAGAGACCTGGCTGGGCACGTGAGCTGGAGAAGAGAGGAAATAGCGGACTACTTGGAGCAGAGGGTGGGTGGAGGAGTGGTGGATAAGGTTGCAAAGAAGAGCAGCTGCCAGGAGGAGCAGAACCCTGACTGGCTGGGATAGGACATCTGGATGCCATCTTGGGGACCCAGCATTTGTACTGTCCCTGCTCTGGGTGTGTGTGTGGGGGGGGGGGGCTGGGGCAGTGACTTTACTTCTAGAGATGTTTATTCCTGGTGTCTGTCTTGTTGAGTGAGGGTAGTCCTGAGTGACGTTTGAGATATCATAAAAATAAACTTGGGGGGAAATACTATCCTTTGGGCCCGACACTGTAAATGCAAGCATACTTCGAGCTAGTGTTTTCTAAGATTTCAAATCTGCTAGCTTTGATTTGATATTTATTTTGAATCAGCTATAAACTCTATTGCTCTCTGAGTGGAATGTGGACTGCTAGCAAGAAATCGTATTTTCATAGTTTCAGCTCTCAAAGTCTTACACCTTTTCATATCATATTGAATATTTTAGCCCCAGCTATGGATTGTGGGGAATAACATTAAGCATTCCACATTGGCAATGGCCACTGAATTACTACTGAAGCTAGTCTGAATCCCTGCTTTCCAGTGCACAGGGCACAGAGTTTCAGAAGAAACTCTGAGAAGTATGCTTGAACTCGGTGGATAAAAACATCTGCCACACATGTTTGATAACCTCGGTTTGATCCTCAGAAGCCCCAGTGGAAGGAGAGAACTGACTTCCAAAAGCTGCCCCTTAATTTCCACATATGTGCAGAGACACATGTATGCTAAGTCATGCGTGTGTGTGTGCACACCCCACCCCACCACACACGAATACAAAGGAAGAAACAGTCCTTGTACGGGCTGGTTGTCGCCTGTTTTCCATCGCAAAGGCAGTGCTAGTCCCAGCCCACTTCTGGTCCGGCCTTTGGGCAGCCAGATTCAGATGTTTCCTTCTTTAAATTTCCCAGGAAGAATTGCGCCACCTGTGTCTTCTCTGGGGTTTTTGGATTGTGAGACGATGGTACCCACACTTCCTGGAATAGCTGCTTGTGTGCGCCAAGTGTATGAGACTTACACAATGATAGAAGGCAGGGTTTAGGGCCAGGAACAGCAGAAGCTTGAACCAGGCATCTGTTCCACAGACACAATGAAGTCCGGAGGTTGTGGGAGGCGGAGGCGGAAGGGCTCCACAGAGTCACTTGAGGATGTGGGCACTCTGCTCCGATCTGCAAGTCTTGAGTATTCGTCCTAACCCGGCTTTTCTTCTAGAACAGAATTTCAAAGGAGGTAGGCATAGGAGGAGGCAGGATTACCTGGAGCCCAAGAGGTTCAGCGTGTTGGATTCTGTGGCAATCTGCTATAACCCTGGGGCTTTAAATTCCTTTTTTCTCTGTCTACATAGCATACCATACAAATTATGTTATAAGAAGGTGAACTAGGCATGAGTGGAGAGCCCCCTTTCTTCCTCAGGTGTAGAATCCAACTCATATCTGAGAGACTGTAGGCATGAACTAAAACTTCTTGCATGGAAAACCACCTGACCTCTTCCAGGAAGCCCTCAGGGACTTCCTTAAGGAACTTGACATTCCTTATATCTGGAAGACCTCATCCTACAGATCCTATAGTGTTTCATGTTGTGGCTTACTCATCTAAAAGCATATGATTTTTGTTTTTCATGAAACCACTGCAAAATATTAGACCTTTGTTCCCATGTAGGTGACAAGGAATTGGTGTCCCTGAGAGGCACTGTGAGATGTTATCAGTTTTGCTGTAGGGAGACTTGATTTCAAGACAATGTGTAAGAAAGACCAAAGGGAAGGTAGCTAGGAGCTTCAGGTGCCTGAATGGTGCCCAGTGAGAGAGCGAGGGGGCTTGCAGCCAAACAATGCCAATCAGAAGAGAGAGAAAGGGGCCTTGGCTGCTCTGGAGGGTGGTGACTCCAGATGTATCAGCTCTGGGATGGACAGAGGCCAGCCTCCTGTGGCTCCAGAACGAGACAGTGATTGCACCCAAGGGTAGATAGTGCGGAAACC